AGATTAACCTATGACCTAGAGTCCTAATCTAATATCACTCTGAATATCAAGGAGTTGGTGATAAGGGATTAGAACCAAAAGTCCTAATCTAACTCTACCCCATACTTCTAGGATTTGGTGATGGGGTTGAGCCAATCAACCAAGTGTTCGAGTTCCTTTATGACACACCTCCCTATCACTATAAATAAAGGGTCCAAGAACCAGGTAATTGATTCAATTTTTGCCTCTTCACTATAGACTTTTCTTTGACTTACAATAAGTGTCGGAGTTCCTTTAGTCATCTCCCACCATCGGTTCACTTAGGTGTTCTTTTAGTTTGTATAAAGTAGTTACTGTTTGTGTGAATTTATTCCCTCACATAAATCAATTTGATTTGTATGATATTTATTACCTTCCAAGACTAGGATAAGCTTCGTTGATATAAACTATTAATATTTTCTTTTGGACAGAATTAACAAAGAAAGGTTTGTAGAGAAAATATTNTCATACTTCTAGGATTTGGTGATGGGGTTGAGCCAATCAACCAAGCGTTCGAGTTCCTTTATGACACACCTCCCTATCACTATAAATAAAGGGTCCAAGAACCAGGTAATTGATTCAATTTTTGCCTCTTCACTATAGACTTTTCTTTGACTTACAATAAGTGTCGGAGTTCCTTTAGTCATCTCCCACCATCGGTTCACTTAGGTGTTCTTTTAGTTTGTATAAAGTAGTTACTGTTTGTGTGAATTTATTCCCTCACATAAATCAATTTGATTTGTATGATATTTATTACCTTCCAAGATTAGGATAAGCTTCGTTGATATAAACTATTAATATTTTCTTTTGGACAGAATTAACAAAGAAAGGTTTGTAGAGAAAATATTTTAGTGGTGGCTAAAATAATAGTAACCCCAATGGAGTACATCCTAGGTATTATTGGCCACACATGACATGTAAGCAAAAGCTGGATATACATGGGCCTTAACTTACTAAGTGTGGGGTTCCCTTAAGTGTGAGGGTCCCACACTTAATAGCATATAAAAAAAAAAAANCTAGACTTTTCTTTGACTTACAATCTAACTTAAGTGTCGGAGTTCCTTTAGTCATCTCCCACCATCGGTTCACTTAGGTGTTCTTTTAGTTTGTATAAAGTAGTTACTCTTTGTGTGAATTTATTCCCTCACATAAATCAATTTGATTTGTATGATATTTATTACCTTCCAAGATTAGGATAAGCTTCGTTGATATAAACTATTAATATTTTCTTTTGGACAGAATTAACAAAGAAAGGTTTGTAGAGAAAATATTTTAGTTGTGGCTAAAATAATATTGTCACCCTAATGGAGTACATCCTAGGTATTATTGGCCACACATGACATGTAAGCAAAAGCTGGATATACATGGGCCTTAACCTACTAAGTGTGGGGTTCCCTTAAGTGTGAGGGTCCCACACTTAATAGCATATAAAAAAAAAAAAAGCAATGGTGGAACCCATTAACAATAAATTAAGATATTTTTAATTTTTTCACAAAATTATCCAATGATCAACCACTTCATCATTCTATCCATTTGTTTAGTTTCACACATCAATTTTTGAGATCCAGTGAGACAAGATCTAATATAAAAGTTTAGAACTCTAATTCAACTTAAAGTTTAAGCTTATAAGTAATGAATCCATTCCATCTATAATATATGAGGACACTTTCACTTTTTTTCAATTTGATGTGAAATTTTCAAACATGTAGTGCACAATACTTTAAGCGTGTCCTCAAAAGAGATCCGAAGTTAGTGCCTCCACCTTATTAAACGTGGGGTCCTGTTATTACTTTGGTACTGAAAATCAATTTTTCAATGCCACATCTACTTTTTACCCAATAAGATTTTAGTATATATCCATAATATAAAATATGACGGCTTCAGTAATCTTATCTTACGGTCTCAAATTTATTCATCAAACAATCAAAAAATTACCATTTTTTTTTTAATATTTCCTCCCCAACCGGTCAACAATTACGACAGATCTTGAAACACATCCTAGAGTCTCAATTCATTCATCAAACGATCAAGAAAATTATCATTTTTTTCCTTAATATTTTTTCTCCCAACCGGTCAATAATTACGGCTGATCTTGGAACACATGATTTTCTCTGACATAATAATTAAATTGGTCAAATTTACTATTAATATCATCTGTGTAGTGTAATAATTTGAATTTTTATGAGACACAATGATAACATTTTGATTAAAAAAAACTCACCAATTTAACAGATAAAAAAAAAACTAAGGTGTTGTTTAACACATTTATATTAAATATAATTAATTTTAATTTATTTATTTAATTAATTAATTACTCAAACTAACATATCTTACACGTATCTTCAATCAAAAGTTTAAGACTTTTATCTCTTACGAAAGTCCAACTTTAATATATTCTTATAAATTAATAATTTTGTAATAACTTGTACTAATTAAAAAAAATAATATTTGTAGATCTTTTCTTGAGAGAAAATATTTTGGCAATATGCTTTTTGATAAATTAGATTTTTAGTTTATATTAGATTTTACTCGATTTTGATTACATGTATATAAATTAATAATTTTTAAGTCAATTCTATCATATTTAATGGATTTATCTATAATACCTATAATATAAAATACGGCTGCAACAACAAGCTCATCCGACGGTCTCAAATAAATTCATTCATCGGCCACCAACATCTTTATTAAAACCATTCAGATTGAATTTTACCTTCCTCTTCTCACTTTTTACACTCTCTTTCTCTCTGTGGCAGTGGCAGATGGAGGAGGGGCAAGAGGAGCCTAGGGCCACCCTAAAAAAATAATTTTTTTTTAGTTACATATGTTTTATATATTTTTCTGGATTAATTGAGCTCTATGTAATGATTTAGTTAAAACAAAATTAATTAGGTCGAACAAGTTGGCTACTAGAACAAAAAAATAAAAACAAAAAATCCAAACAAAATCTCTTAAAATTATGGAATTTGTAATAAGATTAAAAATTATAGAATGTTGTTTTTATTTTTGTCAAACAAATTATATAATTGATTCTTGATGTATAGATGTTATCTTATTAATTTTTTTCAAACATACATTTTTTATGTTTAATGAATTTTTAAGTATCAAATCCGATATAAAAAATATAAATATATAACATTATTTTTATCTATTATACTTAAAGTATGTCCACCCTAGATTATATTTTTGGCTCCACCACTACTCTCAAGAATTTTCACTCCTCACTTCTCTAAATTAATCTGTTGGTTTACGTTGCACCGTGCTTTTAGGCACGGATTACCCCTAATATATATATATAAAGTTTAAAAAACAATATTCTTTAGAATATGCAGATGCCAGATTAACAGTTATCTTATATTGGCATAAACTTCTGGAATGTCCTAAGGTCTAATCCTATTGTAAAGTGGATTAAGAAAAGTGTTGGTCCCACTCATCACATGTCATTCGTACAAATTAAGCCAAATGGCGACCCATCATCAACTTGATTTCGCTATCGTGGTCCCCACATATCCAGGGATTAAGATAAGCCTCCCAAAAAAGTATCTCGTGGTTTTAATAAATTAATCAAAATTAATGATTAAATATATGACAATGCATAGCTAAAAGGTCAACTCTGCCTTAAACTACGAACTCTCATTGTAATTACGGTATTGAATTAAACATTTATATTTTTTTAATTAAGTTATTTTTTAGTTAATTTATAATTAAATGGAGTCAATTTAAGATAAAGACAATTTAAAATATTATGATTGATCTTAAATAACCCTACCTTGTTGTAAAGATACCCAATCGATTTATCTTAGTAACCGATTTTAAGTTTGTCAAAGAGAAGAAACTAAAAAAATTTGCACTCGATTCACTTACATGATAACTTGTGTTATTTAAATACAAGATGCCAGCGATAGAGTCAGAAATTTTGTTCAGAGTAGGTACCTTAACTATAAATTTAATTTTTTTTTACTTTAAATTTATTATATTATATTTGATTTTCAAACATTTATTAGATACAAAATAATTCAACATCGATTTACGTAAAATATACAAAAAAAAATTAATGAAAAGAGGCTAATTATACTTATTTATAATTGATTTCAATGAGTTTTTATACTTTAAAGATGTTATATGATATATTCATTATCATAGATGTCTTTTTCTATACAAATAATCACCTCACTCTTTTTGGTTATGTAACTTAGTCTTCATAATTTTTAAAATTTTAAAAAATTGATTTGACATATCAAAAACTTGTCTAAGCTTGTCCGTAGAGTCTAAAGTGTGTCAAAAAATCATAGTTAATTAAATATTTGACTATAATACTTGATAAAACAAAAAATTGATAGATTGAATATAAAATATATACGGTGGGTATAATAAAATATACCAAAAAATTTTAAAAAATAGATAATAATTTTTTTAAAAAATTTTAAGGTGGGCCCGTCCCCCTGGCCGGTCCACTAATGGCTCTGCCACTGCAAGAGGCCATAATAATTTTTTTCTTTTCAAATGTTTAGTCAAACATTATTATAAGAGAGAGACATGACGAGGTTCGAACCTGTAACTTTAAGGTACAACAATTAGAACGGTGGTCATTAGGTCAATAGCTAACCTCGCCCTAAGCATTACAAGAGGTTCAACATGCTTTATTTTATGAGCAATGCTGTGCACACCAAAAGTGTGCACCAAAATATACATGAAATCATCTACAACCGTTGAATTAGTGGGTCACGTCATTGATCCGATGACTATAAATGATTTTGTGTAAATTTTGGTGCACATAATTTTATCCTTATTTTATTTAGGGTGTAGGGTTTAGCATTTGGTAGACAAAAAAAACTATGGACCTCAATACATTGGCCATGCTGACTAGGATCAATCTGTTAATGTCCACATTCCTCCATGAACTATCAACACTTTTTTTCAGTATGAAACCTTTGCTATAAATACATCAAACTTTTAGAGATCACTTGGAGCATGTGACTTGGATGTGTAAGTTTTGTTAAGGCCTAAATTGAGGAAATTGCTATAGCAACGGCAAGAACTCTGTTGGGCTGCCTTCAATCAGACAAGACTTTCAACTACTCCGAGCAATCTGAAAGTGTCTCCGACATGATTTTCGGGTTTCTAGATGAAGGTGAAGGGCTAACAGAGAGCTCTTGTGACTCGAGTGACGGCTTTGGTGGCAGTGATTCTGTCGAAGATGAGGAGGTTGAAAATCCTCCTAATCTTGAGGAGAGGAAGGTTTTCTGGGAAACACAAGAAGAACTCCTCCAGGTAAAGTTTCATATTCATACACTCGAATTTCAGTCGAAATGTGTTGGTACATAACTCGAACCTATTAGTTTAGCGGTCAAATAAAAGACGATACGTAAATCTTGCATATTCTAAATTCGAATCTCGCTAATTAAATAAAACCCAATTTTTAGAAATTCAAATGGTTAGTGGGTAATTACATACACTCAAAATCTACATTCGTGTCAAAAGTTTAAAAAACAAATGGTTGGAACGATTCTTTGTTAGAAAAAAATCATTCAAAAAGCTTACATATGGTCACTTTTCAAGCAGGCAACTTTGTGTAGGACTAGTTCTATTGAGTCCAAAGTAAGGTATGCTACCGAGGAAGCCCTCAGGGAGATCAGTTTGGGAGCCGGTGGTTGTGTTTGTCAGAGACCGGTGTCCGATGGCTGTCGGGATTGTATACAGAGAGAGATTATGGGTCGCCTTCAGAATGAAGGTTACAATTGTGCCATTTGCAAGTCCAAGTGGAAGAGCTCTCCGGACATCCCCTCAGGTATGTGTACACAATGGGTCGTTTCCGGATTAAGTCGTGTAGTGTCTAAATTAGTTTATTTTATATTTGACACATTCATTATCGTATAAGCTTGGCTTATGTCGTGCATAAGCTATATTTATCACCTGAACTCATTCAAACTAAATTCAAATTTATTATTTTCGTGTTAAATTTATCACAATTTGATGAACTATTTCCAAAACTACCATGATTAATAAAAAATAGTCATGGGTCCTGGCAAAGTAGGACCCTCGTCATTGGGTAATCCATTTTTTTGGTTCCATTAACCCAAAAAGGGTCGATCTATCGACGATCCGGATCCAACTTCTAATGCTTATATTTTTTGGAATAAAAAAAAAAGATAAAAAAAAAAGAAAAGGTTAATTATATTGTTCAAGACAGTATTGATGAGCAATAAGTTGTGGACCACAAAAAACCTAACCAGTTTCTATGTAATACTTCAGGGGAGCACACCTTTCTGGAAGTGGTGCACGAATCAAGTTCTAAAAGCGGAGAGGTGAGAGTGGTGATTGAATTAAATTTTCGGGCCGAATTTGAAATGGCGAGAGCTAGCGAAGAGTACAACCGGTTAATTAACCGGTTACCGGAAGTGTTCGTCGGAAAAGTCGAAAAGCTGCGAGCTCTAATTAAAATATTATGTTCTGCATCCAAAAAATGCATGGAGGAGAGAAAGATGCATATGGCTCCATGGAGGAAGCTAAAATACATGGAAGCAAAATGGCTCGGCACGTATGACCGGAAAACCCTAGTGCCCATTTCACCGGTAGAACAATTGAACCGGTCGGGAAAGCAAAGGGCATCCAGGCTCACCTTTGATTTGCTAGAAACTTCGTCGGGCTTGCATTGTCCAACGATTAAAGTGATGTGAGGATGGAGAAAGTTTTGTACTACTCTTGGTTTTGTTTTTTCTTCGAGTTATTAATAATGTTACTTGTAAATTCTTTAGATGGCATGAATCGAGGATATCTATGGCACTTCGATGATGAAATTTTTTGGACTTTGATTGAATATTTCCATTGCCGAGTTTTGCAAGTAGATGAAAGATTTTCATTACTATTAATTTGTGCTTTGTGCTATCGTGTCGTGTTGAAATCATGTACCTTCAATATATTTCGTTACCATGGTAACTTGAATAGCCAGACATCTATTTTGGAATGCCGAACTGAACGTCAAACATTCATTACAGTACAAAAGGGCTCCCCCAAACCCCCATTGGTACCTTCTTTTTTTTTCTCTTTCAAAATTTCTTTTTTGCAGGCTCTGTTATTAATGAGTGAGGACCCACATAGGTATAATAGGTCACACTTGATTTTATGGTAGGTAATTCACCATGAAATAAAATAAAAAATTATATTATACGGAATCGGGAATGGTAATTTTTGATACGACACGATAACTCGATACGAAATACGATACGAATAAATGGGTTTGGTTTGACTAATTTTTTGACACGACCTGTCAACACGAAGTGTTAATAGGTTGTATTCGGGTTCAACCCGTTTAACACGAATTGATCCGTCAACACGAAATTTTTAATTCGAAGGAAATTGACTTGACCTTTTCGTTGCATGTATGAGTTTTTATGTTTTGATGACTTGTTTTTTCCATTACTTCTGATGTTTAATTTGGTTGTATGATGTACAATTAACATATTTAATTAGTATTATATAAATAAAATATTAATTATTTGTAACTGTTTATCAAGTATTGACATAATTATTGTATAAAAAAGATATTATTACTCATTATTGTTGTTATTATTATTATTCAGTTAAATTTTAGTTTGTAGAAAAGTATGAGAAGAGATTCAATGAAGTAAAAATAAAATTTTAGCGTTAAATTTTTTATTCAAAGTTTATGTAGGTCAACACGAATATGAATACGAACATGACACGAAAATAAATAGGTCAACTCGACACGACACAAATAGTTAAATAAGTTGGGTATGGTGGGTTGACTAATGTTCAACACGACACGAACCCAATACAACACGATTCGATTACAACCCCTAGGGAATCCTACTATAATTATATTAAAAAATGTAAGCCTTAAGATAAGAGCAACTCTTGGAAAGAGTAACGTTATAGAAACTTAATTTAGGAATCTAATGATGTGATTTTAATACAAATATTAGATTAGTTGTTAGTTACAATTTTAGATGGACCCCACAACTAATCAAATGATTATATTGAATTAGATTCTTAGATTAGATTCAAATAACATTTTTCCTGTTGAAAACAATCCTTAATGCTCCGTTTGGTACGATGAAAAAGTGAGAGGGTGGAAAGTTGGAAAGGTAAAAAATTGGAGGGATAAATAAAACATCATATTTGATAAGGAAGGAAAGTAGGAAGGATGAAAAAGTGAATGAATTAATTTTCCTTCCAACTCACCAAAATCAATCCCTCCAAAATCGGAAGGAAAGTGAATGAAAAGTTAATTATTTGTGTTGAGATGTATCTTATTTGTCTATACATTTTATGTATATATTAATATCATATAAAAATACAATGGTAAAATATGTATATATATTTAAAAAAAATTTTAAATTAAAAAAAAAATTCATTTAAACTAAGGGTGAAAATTTTCGACTCAACACGATGAAACAACTCGAACTCGATATAAAAATAAATAGGTCAACTCGTAACTCGACACGACATAATTAGTTAAATGAGTTAAATTAATATTCGACACAAACTCGTAATGACTCAACACGAATATGACACGACACGACTCGACTTTATTTGTCACCCCTAATCTTAGCCAGCACTAAAAAAAAAATAGTCATTTTTATTTTCCATATATCCAATCAAACACAAAGGAAGGAAAGTGTATCATTCCTATTTTCCATCCTTGAAGGATAGAAAGTGTATTCTTTCTACTTTTCATCCTCTCTACCAAACGGAGAATAAAAGTTAGGCGAAAAGAAAGAGTAATGTTATTAAGACATAAAAATCATTAGATGAAAAGTAAGTTCTACTAATTGATAGAATTCATAGTTAATCCAATGATTATAGTGAATTAAGATAACAAATGAGGTCAAATTTTTAGATCTAAATTACATTATCTATAACTTTTCACATCGATATCCATATTACATGGGGAAAATTACACTTTAGTCCCCTCACATATGTCTACTATCTTAGGTTGCCCCTTAAGACTCACATTTCACACCTTACAAATCTAAATATAGGTGTTGGTTGATTTTACATTGGTCCCTCTATTAAAAGATTTATTTACGTTGCACCTCCACCAGTAGCGATGAGTATGAAATTGCCCAATTGCAGACATTAAAAACTTTTATTTCATGACACACATTGATATTTTTAGTCCATAACGAAAGGAATGTTTGGTTTTAACTCAATAGTTGAGGAGGCATAATAAGATTTGATGATGGCCAAGTCAGGGCAAACTTATGTTATAAGCTCAGTCTAAATAAAGAGTCCAACTTGTCGAAATTCAATGGGTCCAGTCTATGAGAGGTCCACACCCAGTCAAGCTCATCAGGTTTTAAGGAGCTACATCACCAAGGAAGTAAGTAAGGTCATCCAAGAGCTTCATCCACGTTGTTTTGGAAGAAATCAACCACCACGTCATCCTTTGACCTGATCTTAAGTGGAGTTTCGTAACTACCTTATTCGTTGAAAAAGTAGCGCTAACTCTATCAGATTAGCTACTTAATTACTGAAAAGGTGTTTCTATATGTTAAGAGTCACTATAAATTTTAAGTCCTGTCAATATTTAGGGGGCATCGAACACATATTCTATCACTCTCATCTCTCTCTCATTACTTGTATCTTCCTACTCAATTACTGTATTAATTACTAATCATTTGACCGGTGGTGCATAAAATTAATTTGTGCATCATCAAAATTAAAAACTTATTCGAGAGGACTAAAGTATAATTTATTCAATTAGACATAACAATTTTGGGCACGCTTTAACACAATATGAATCTCACACGACATGAAGGGGTTAGAATTGAGTAGTTCTTAATACAAACTGAAAAATTATGCCACCTACAGCAGCAAATATTAAATGGGTAAAGTCAGCATCAAAGATGAGTAACCTAATTTTGACACAATAAATCCATTTAAGTGGTATCGTATGACCAGTTCCAAAAAAAAAAAAAGTACTGTGTAAAGAAAATGTCTAATTTTTTATATTTATTCACTTCTTGATCTCTTATTAATGCTCCATTTGGTAAAGAAAATGTCTATCCTCCAAGAAAATAAAGTAGGAATGATACACTTTTTTTTCATTTGTATTTAGTAGGATGAATGAAAAATAAAAATTAATATTTTTGTGTTTGGTAAGATAGAAAAAATAATTTTTATAAATTTTAAATTTAAATTTTAAATTTTTTTAAAAATTATAAATAATTATTTTATTATTATATTTATATATGAAATTAATATATACATAATATATGTATATATCAAAGAATATATAGACAAATAAAATATATATATTAAGGTATTCCTTATCTTATGAAGACTTTATTTTCTTGAGGTCAAGGGTTCAAGTCCCTCCTCCCCTCCCCCCAAGAAAAAAAAAATTAAAAAAAAAGACAAATAATCCACTTTTCTTCTAATTTTGATTTTGGTGAATTGAAAGGAAAGCTCATCCATCTTTCTTATTTTTTTTCTTATCAAACATGATTTTTTATGTATTTCTTTAAATTTTCATTCTTCTATTTTTTTATCGTACCAAACAGAGCATAAAGATTGAGAGAAAATGATGTCCTAATTAATTCTTAGTTTCTATAGTTCATGGGTTATGTGTACCGATGTAATTATCAAAACATTTAACATCATTAATCAAATATGCTGAGTCAAAATTGAATAATACTCTATGGGAACTTAAAATTCCACACTAACTTGATTGAGACACCTAATTCAAATATGCATTTAAGAAAGATAGTAGAACGCAAAAAGAGATTGGAAAAGTTAAAAAGGGAGTTAGTGGTGGATATACTTGATGATGTCCAAGGTTTTTCACATAAAGTCACATTGTTTATAAAATATCTGATTATAACACAACGTGAATCTCACACGAAATTAGAAGGTTAGAATAGAGTAGTTCTCGATTAAAATGCAAAAATTATGCCACCTGCTATAGCAAATATTAAAAGGGTAAGGTTGATATTAAATATGAATAGCTTGATAATGACACGATAAACTCATTTAATTAGTATTGTGGGAAGAAAATATTTGATTTTTTTATTTTTTTATTTCTTCATTTCTTGATCTTTTATCAAAGGAATTATTATAGAACTAGAGGTTTTTTAGTTGATTATGTTATCATTCGGATCATATAGATTTTTAGTTTATGAGACATATATATAGTAGTAGTAAGTTAGGTAAAGAGGGAACAAAGTCCTAATTCTTAGCTTCCAGTTCATGGGTTATGTGTACAGAATACAACTCGACGTGATTAATAAACAAATTATGTTACTATCAAAATATTTGGCAAGATTAATAAAATAAGTTGAGTTAAAATTGAATAATACGGATATACTTGATAGTGCCCAAGGTTTTTCACATAAAGTTAGAAAGTGATTGTTTATAAAATATCCTTTTTTTTTTCATGGAAATCAACCTGTCATCCAAAAATCTCTCTTGCCCAATCCAAACCTATGTTTGTGATGTACTTGCATGAGAATAAACTTAAGATCATGATTACAAAGTGAAAAGACATCTCTTACAAGGTTAAGATGATCTATAACAACAAAGGTCGCAAGGAAAAAGGAAAGAGAGAAGGAAAAGCCAAGAGCTTGATCATGATCTTTCTATGTCAATAAGCACTTGCCCTAGGGTATTCACATATTGTAATTGAATGTCACAAGTACTAAAGATGACATTTCTT